CTTGAGCCCAGGAGTTGGAGGTTGCTGTGAGCGTGATGCCATGGCACTCTACCCAGGGGGATAGCTTGAGGCTCTGTCTCAAAAAAAAAAAAGAATCCTTAAAAAGGCTGGGAGTGGTGGCTCATACCTGTGATATGAGCACCCTGGGAGGTTGAAGCGAGTGGATTGCTTGAGTTTCAAGACCAGCTTGAGCAAGAGCTAGACCTTCTCTTTCCTAAAAATAGAAAAACTAGCCAGGTGTAGTAGCACATGCCTATTATCCCAGCTACTCCGGAGGCTGAAACAGGAGGATTGCTCAAGCCCAAGAGTGTGAGGTTGCTGTGAGCTACACAGCATTCTACCCAAGGCAACAGAGTAAGACTCTGTCTCAAAACAAAAAAAGATCCTTAAACTGGCTGGGCATGGTCACTCATGCCTATAATTCTAGCACTCTGGGAGGCCAAGGCAGGAGGATCACCTGATCCCTGGAGTTTGAGGTTGCTGTAAGCTCTGAAGATGTCACTACACTATAGCATGGGTGACAGAGCAAGACCCTGTCTCAAAAGAAAAGAAAAGAAGAAAAAAAAAGCATTAAACAGCTGGGTGCAGGGGTGCACACCTGTAGCCCTTGGTACCCAGGAGGCTGAGATAGAAGGGTCACTTGAGTCCAGGAATTAGAGGCTGTAGTGCACTATGTCACACCTATGAATAGACACTGCACTCCAGCCTGAGCAACATCTTTATCCAGGTGCAGTAGCTCATGCCTATAATCTTAGCACTCTGGAAGGCTGAGACAGGTGTATTGCCTGAGCTCAGGAGTTCAAGACCAGCCTGAGCAAGAGTAAGACCCTGTCTCTAAAACTGGCCTTTATGGCAGGCACTATAGCCCAAGCACTCAGGAGGCTGAGGCAAAAGGTCACTTGAGGCCAAGAGTTTGAGGTTGCTGTGAGCTATGATGGGACAGCACTCTACCAAGGGCAACAAAGTGAGACTCTGTTCCTCTATCACACATTACACAGTACAGGCTAAGTCCATCCCTTCCAGGCCCCTGTGCTCTAGGGAGCCCTGAGCCACATACAAAAAAATCCTTAAACCAAAAAATAGTAGCTGTCAGGTAGTCCTCACAGCATCTATGAGATAGAATTATTCCTGCCTGATGCATGAAAAAAATGCACTGAGAGACTTGGCCAATGTCATCAAATACTAAGAATCAGAGCCAGGATTTGAAGCCAGAGATTCAAAGCCAGTACCCTGAGCCACAATCCTGTGTAGCCACATTCCTCTTGGAGGCCCTAGCCAAGAATGGTGGCAGACTAAGAGTATCCAAAGGGTGTCAAGATGGCATCAGCAAGAGGAGCACTTAGGCACACGTGAATCTGGGACTGAAGAGTTCCTTCCTGATTGTAGGGCACCCTAGCAATGTCACCTTCTCTCCCCTCCCACCCCAGGCCTAGAGCAGAAACTGAAACCTCAGCTGCCAGGATACATCATTTGGTAGCTGAGGGGAAGAAAGGAAAGGAGTGAAACTCTGAGCATCAGACTAGGATACCACAGACCCTGGGGGAGGGCATCGTATATGGTTCAGGGCTCCCTAGAGCACAGGGCCTGGAAGGGATGGACGTGGCCTGTACTGTGTAATGTGTGACCTTTACCCTCACTTCCCTACAGGTCTCCCATGTCCGCATGCAAGGGATCCTCTTATTGTTCTTTGCCAAGTATCATCATTTGCCCTATATCCGGATTCTCTTCACAAACTCTACTCCCACAGGTCTCTTCGGGTACTGGGTAAGGACTGAGCTATTTGAGTCATGAGTTGAAAAGGGTTGGGAACTTCAGAACTGGGCCCAAGAAAAAGGATGTAAAATGAATCTTGGTACTCTGTCCAGCCCAGTGTCCTGTATACTCCTTCTCCTGTCTCAGATGAGCTTGTTATCCCTGAGACCCCAGACTAGGTGAGCTGGGCTTATGCATGGAGAGGTTACCCTGGGAAGTGTGCTATCTGTCCCTGGAGACCCTGGGGGAGGTGAGACTATCTCCCCAAAGACCTAGAATATGAAAAGGGGGCATGTCCAGCCCAAGGCAGTTTCCCACTCTTCTGTCCACCTGTCCTACCAGGGGAACAAAGGAGGAGTAAGCATCAGCCTGAAGCTTTATGGCTACTATGTCACCATTATCAACTGCCATCTGCCCCCCCACATATGCAACAATGACAAGCGGCTGGAGCATTTTGACCGGATCCTGGAGACACAGAATTCTGAGAGACATGGTATCCCCAACATCCTGGACCATGAGTGAGCCTAGAGCTTCAAACTTACCCCTGCCACCTCCTCATGCCAACCTAAGCTAGTATCCTCTGCCCAGTCACTGCTCCCTCTGCTGCCCTCCCCAATTCTCTCCCTGATGCCCCATCTGCTGTCCCCCAGTTTTCCCTGCCTGGGTTCTCCTTCCTGCAGCCTCTCTGTCTTGCCTAGAAACCCTGAACACATCTCAATGTCCCGGGTCAAGAACTTTATGGTTCCTGAGGTCACCAGAGGGCAGTAGCCAGTGGAGGGAGAGAAGGGAGAGCTGGAGGTGCTCTGTATTTACCCTGTGCCCCTCTGGGTTGGTCTCTTGGCTGGAATGGTGCTTTACGAGCCATGAGAACAGTTCTGTTGGACCCATGCATTCCCTTGTCTTAACCTGGCATCTAGCTTCTCACCTGCCCCCTTGAGTGTTCCACTGTCCAGCAGCCCTCGGATTGAGCAGGCCTGAGCCACCTGTTGCTTTCCCTTCTCTGACTTCATCACAGACCCTCAGGCTGCCCTCCTTTCTTTCTGAAGCCTTATTCTCTGGTTTGGAGATATGAATTTTCGGATCGAGGACTTTGGGTTGCACTTTGTTCAAGAATCCATAAAAAATCGGTGCTACAGTAACCTGTGGGCAAAGGATCAGGTATCAAATGAAGAGGGGTACTAAGGGGTGATGGTGGGAAAACGTGGGAAGCACTGCTCTCTTTTTCCCAGTGGTGGGAGTGGGGACTGTCTAGCAGGGCTTTGTATCTGGGGATGAGGGTGGGCTGCTGTGTGTATGGAGGAGCTAGGGTGTCTTCAGTCTGCCATGCCTTGCACTGTGCATCAGTCCACTTGTGTCCCTGTGATCTTTTTGTCCCCAGCCTTGCTTGCCTCCTAGAAAATGAGATGCCACCCTTTTTGACAACTCTAGCTACCCCAAGTTCCCCTCTGATACTTGTCTGACAGTGACCTCCCCTAAGGATGACATTCAAAGCCTGGTTTCTATAGTCCAAAGACTGGAAAATAGCAGACAGCTGCCTTCTTTGGGCCTGTGGGCAATGTTTCCAAAAGGATTCAGCTACTTTCCTGGGGGTAAGGGTGGGCTGCTGATGCACAGCCAGTGGGGCAGTGAGGAAGTGGAGTGGCATTGCTTGACTTTTGCTCCACTTATGATGGCACGTGCTGGGGTATTACATCGGGCTATTGGGATTTGGAGACTATGCCTTTATCTACAGCTCAGCATTGCCAAGAGACATGACGTACTGCTCCGGGAGTTCCAAGAGGGCCCCCTGCTCTTCCCGCCCACCTACAAGTTTGACAAGAACTCCAACAACTATGACACCAGGTGAGCAGGAAATAGGGGCCCAGGAAATCTAAAGAAGTCGGGTTAAGCTTGCCCTAGTGACAGTCTTAGGGTGGCAGGAATAGATCTAGCTATCACCTCTCAGGAGTGGTGCCTCTTGCCTCCCTCATGAGACACTGACTATGGAAGCTGTCCCAGACTGTCCTCAGAGAGAATGAAAGGACAGGGGAGGTGGCAGGAGACAGATCAAGCCAGAGGACAGAATGAAGGCAGTGACTGCTGACTGAGGAGGCTGTGTACTTCAGCGTTCTCTAAACCCTTGCCCTCACTTCCCAGGACCTTCTGGTCCCCAAATAGAGGGCAGAAAGTTTGGCTCAGCCAGTTACTGGTATTAAGTCCCCCTGCCCCAGCCTGTGAGTGGATCAGGTGCTATGTGAGAAGATGAAGTAGTAGACTTGGGAACAATACAGTTAGAAGCACAGCTCTGCCCCTCATCAACTGTATGACATTAGCAGGCTGTTTAAGCCTCCATTTTGTCATCTATAAAAGGTGCATGATAACAATTCATACCTCATGAGGTTGAAGATTGAATGAGACCTTGATTATTCTTAGCCCAATGCCTGGTACCCAGTAAACATGGAAGAGAACTGCTATTGTTTTTTGGGTTTTTTCTTTGAGACAGAGTCTCAAGCTGTCACCCTGGGTAGAGTGCTGTGGCATCACAGCTCACAGCAACCTCCAACTCCTGGGCTTAAGCAATTCTCTTG